TGGGCCCCGGCCTTGGCGAGCGCTAACAGCTGCTGACACCGCCCCGTCTCACCCTACCCCTCCCTACCCTTGGCGGCCTCAGGTTTGTGGGGGCGTACGTAACTCGGGCGGGGGGTGAAGGTGGCAAGTCCCCGCGGCCCCACCCGCTGTGGACGAGGGGGTCTAAGCCCGGGAAGCTGGGACCCGGTAGTCTTCCCTCCCCTAGGGAAGTTGATGGAGTTTTCTCGGCGGAAGACTTGGCGCAGAAACTTCCTCAGTCCCCCTCCATGCAGGCGACGCCAAGTGAGGCTGAGGCCGGGGACGAATCACCGCAGAGCTGTGTGTCGACGGCGCACGCTGAGTGGACAGTGGGGAAGCCTGTCAGCTTGTTAGCCCCGCTGATCCCGCCCTGTATCTCAGGGCAGCCTTTAACCTTTAGCCCCAGCGGGCGCCAGCCACTCAGATCGCTTCTTGTTGGTATGTGTAGCGGCAGTGGCCGCCGGCGGAGCAGTCTGAGCCCGACGATGAGGCCGGGGACGGGAGCCGAACGTGGAGGCCTCATGGTGAGTGAAATGGAGAGCCAACCTCCCTCGCGGGGTCCCGGGGACGGGGAGCGGAGATTGTCCGGCTCAAGCCTCTGCTCCAGCTCTTGGGTCTCTGCTGACGGCTTCCTGAGGAGACGGCCCTCGGTAAGGGATCAGTGGGGCCGGAGAAAGCGGCACAATGAAAAACGGAGTCTAAGACAGGAAGCTTTCTCCAAAAGGAGAGGAAGATAAGAGTACACTAAGGAAGAGCTCGAGATGGTGGGATACGTCTCGAGGAAGAGAAATGGAGGGTTGGGCGGCACAAAGAGGAGGATGTGGGACCTGGAAGTTCCCGTCGGCTTGGCCTAGACAGATGCGCGAAGGTGCAGGGCCCTGGGCGGGCAGAGTGTTGGACCTGCAGGCCCGTTTTAGTAAGGAATCTTAATTCAGTAACACTTTTAAAAAGATCACCAAAATTTATTTTCGCTAGTAATGGTGCTGTTTTGCAGGGAGGCCTGTTGGAAGAATTGGCAGGAGATAATTACCTGGTTTAAAACCTAGAACAATGGACACATGTAAAGAAAATAGTTGTCTTTTTAACAAGTGCATTAAAACGGATGAATTAGTTGTTTGCATTTTAGAGTCTAAATTGACACGACCGCAGTCTTTTAAATGTGCTTTTGCGAAAGGAATTTTACCTGGAATGGTCTTAAACTGATACCAGAAACTGGTATGCTGTTTGTTAGGAATGAAGTATCGTTGGGTATCCATATTCCTCTAATTTGGTAAATTTAGCATTTTAAAGTCAATAGCCAATAACGCTATAAAATATCGGCTGACTTTGCATTTGTGTAAAATAGGACGTTTTGATTTTCACCATAATTTTTTACATTAGCGTTCAACACCTATTCTCTCAGCTTTGCAAGACAGTAGTTGATTAAGTAGATACTACTTGACCCCCAGAAAAGACAGCTATGATTCACCTGCCCCATCAGTGACTTTAATCTTTACCATTTTATTGTGGAAATTGCAGGCTTTTTATAAATACTGGCATAAGTGGATTTTGTTTGAAACAAAAAAGCACAAACTAATCCAATGGTACAATCACAGTTTAGTCTAATACTGTGTCACTGTGGGTAAGTGATTAGTTCAAGTGAGAATTTTTGAGGAGAATGTAACTTGCTGACTAAATTTTTACTCTTTTTCAGATGGGGCACCCTGGCATGCATTATGCACCAATGGGAATGCACCCTATGGGTCAGAGAGCAAATATGCCTCCTGTACCTCATGGAATGATGCCACAAATGATGCCCCCTATGGGAGGGCCACCAATGGGACAAGTAAGAATGTTACATATTTGTTTTTTTTGCATTAATATTTACCTCAGCTGTTACTGTGTCAAGATCTCAAAATGTAGGTTTGATACTGTACTTTGTCACTGTTTGAGCATTAGTTTATGCCCAGATAATGTTTCAAATAAGGCAAATGTTGAATCATGAGTGTAAGGAAAATTTGAATATTAATGGAAGTTTTGTAAATTTACTACTTCAACAAAATTAAGTTTTTTTAATTTTAAAAGTGACAGTGTACTTTTTAACAGTGATTTTTTTACAAGCATGTCAAATGGATTAATCTTGTACGTAAATATCTGATAGGGATAATGTAACTTATTTTTGTGAATCATGTAAAATGCATGGAATCAAAATAGTTATTTAGAAATTTGTCTTAGAATTAATTTTATTCTTGAAAGACATTCCTCTTTGTGTGTAGGGGTGGGAAGATTGTTTTCTAATTCTGATACTTCGCAGGACAGTGCCAAATAGTTTATTTTCCACTTACACTTTTTTTTTTTTTTTAATGCTTATGCCTTCTGCACTCCTGTTTATTAGCTTCCCCTTCCATCTCTAGCCTAAAATGTAAATGGACAACTTGTGGAAGTGATTTGTATCAAAAGATTTTAATGCTGACTCAGTGACTTTGATAGAACTGAGTTTCTAGAGAGGCGTCCATAAGGGTAACAGGATCAAGTACTGAACTTAATTGTGTACACTATGTTAGGTTCTATATTACACCTGTCCTTAGGCGGCTGAGTTATTTGCATTTGAATATCTCACAAAATCATGAAAAATTTAGGCTAGAAAATTATTTTGGGAAGCCTATTTATTATCTATGATCCTTTCCTAATGAGTACTGTTTACTTTGTTATTTGTTTAAGCCTTGATTGTTAAAGTTTTTAGTGAAATTATAGTGGAAAAAGGAGCTTGCTGTATTTTTTTTTTTTACCTTAACAGTAGAAGGGCTCAATGTCAACTGGGTTTCTTCTTTTGCATTTGGAATATAGCCCTTAATTTTGTACAAAAATCTTTATTCAAAGGCACCAGACCCAAAAGATTCTGCCTGCAGGAGTTCTTTATATAAAAGACTCTTTTAGCTTGTTACCCTAGAATAACACAAATTTTAAAACTCCATAGGAAATCTTCTTCTATTTCCTTCCATCTCTAAACAGCAAGGAGCTCTTCTTGTTTTCTTGGTAGAGCTGCTCTAAATAGATAATGAGCTTTAAAAAATATTTATTCTTTAAATGCTCTGGTTCTTATTTAAAATTAGTTTCTTTCCACAGAAAGATAAAATAAAACAATTTGCTACTGCCAGATGCTTCTCTCTTTTCTGGGGCCTTCTGTTTCCATTGGGCCAATCAAGGTAAGTTTTGCAAGGGATTGACCTGCTTACCCTTGCTGTAATGGTGCTAGTGCACTACCAAAGCCAAGATACCAGCTAGTCATTGCTAGTAAAATGCAGATTTTGTTTTTTAAAAGTACTTTTATGTATCTCATTGACATAAGCTGGTTGCAGTTTGTTTTATGGCCCTTTCTCTTTAGCTGTACCAGTGGCCATCCCCCTAAAAAGTTTGCTTGGTATACATCTACTCAGATACTCTGAATTTTCCCTTACAGTTTTCTTCTGCTTTTTTTCTAGGCCAGTATATGCTGTGTGCCTTTAAATACACCTAATTATGTAGATACAGTTCTTTCTCCCTTTGTTGGCTCCTGTTAGACAGTGGATAAATACTTTAGGAGTCCAGCATTGAACATCCCAAGAGAATCTACATCATTTTTCTCAAAATTGAATCATTCTTCTTTCCCCCTTTAATATCTTACAAATATGGTTCCCAAATCTTGGTAAAAGTTACTTCTTATTTTAGCTGGGAGAGTGTAGATAATTTGCATCCTCAAATAAATGAGGAATCTTATTTAAAGTTCTGTAAACATCCTTTAAAAATAAAAGTTAATAAGTAGCAGAAATTATTTTTTGTGTCATTTTTTCTGTCTGTACTCTTAAGAAGTATTGATGAGCAGTAAGCAATCACAAGATAATAGAGGAGAAGCAGGGTGCCTATATTATTTAGCATTGATGGTATGATTCTGCTGTACAGTTTTATAATTGAACTCACAAATTCTTTAGATTTTGAGACTGAAGGTTATGGAACCTTCACGTACAGATGGCCTTCCTTAACTGCCAGGTTTTACATCTGTGATTTCAACCAACAACTATTGGTTGACAGTGTTAGAAAAATAAATTGCATGTGTACAGTACAAGTACAGACTTTTTGTTGTTGTTCCATAAACATTGCATCATAACTATATGTATTAGCATGCACATGGTATTAGGTATTATAAGTAATATAGACATGACGGAATGCACAAGAGGATGTGAATAGATTATATGTGCGTACTATGCCATTTTACATAGTAGGAGTTTGAGCATCTGTATTTTGGTATCCATATGTATGTCCTAGAACCAGTCTCCATGGGTTGCTAAGGAGCAACTGTATTGACTACACCTTGTTAAGGTCTCTTAGTAGGACCACCTGAAGACTACAATTGGTGGCAGTCTTACTTGCTAAATGATTGTGACCTTAGGAATGTTACTGAATATGACACAAAAAATTTAAAATTTGCCTGTAAAACAATATTTAGAATGAACACAGTAATAATCTGGGGAAGCCATAGTACACAATTTTAAAATGGGACAAGTTAACGTAGAGATATGGTTATTTTCATTTTTTTTTAAATGAAATAACCTAGAATGCCATTGTCATAATTCAGTCTGAGTATGTTGCTAATAAGTATTTAGAAATTATCAGATGGAGCTTAACATTTCATATTTCTCTCAGTTATTTATCCTGTAGATCAAATTCATCTCTTATATGCATAACTTTATGGGGAAAATATCATACTTTTATCAAATTAAAGTTTCAAAAACCTTTATAAGTTGTATAAACTTAATGAAAATATTTTCTGCCTGTTTGCAAAACTCAAAAATTTCCAGTAGAAATTTCTATTGAAGTATAATTATATAGGACTGTGTTCCTTCATATCTTAGTAATACGTCTTATTCTTTTTTGTCCTTTCTACACAAAGAACATGCACATCCTGCCATCTATCAACCACAGATGATTTGCCTTTTCCCAAAAGAGTCACACCAATTCTTTCTTTTTTTTTTTTTTTTTGCCTTAATTTTTCTTTTTTTTTTTATAAAAGATACATCCTGCCATCTATCAACCACAGATGATTTGCCTTTTCCCAAAAGAGTCACACCAATTCTTTCTTTTTTTTTTTTTTTTTGCCTTAATTTTCCTCTTCTTTTAGTGAGAATAAGATCTATAACAGTGATGGATAACCGTTTAGAGCTTTCAGTGATACAGCCTGCTGTGGCACATGTGCTGTAGGTTCACCACCACTGAATTTCTATAAGATCCCTTCAGACTCAACAGCCTATGATTCAGTCAAGATAATTTGAGAATAGATGGTACGCAATATTATGGTTTGATGTGGAAATAACAAAATTCTGCTGGACATGGTGGCTCATGCTTATAAATTCCAGCACAATAGGAGGCTGATGCAAGAGAATCTCAAGTTGGAGCCCAGGAGGGCAACTAGTGGCTCAATGAGACCCTCTTTCAAAAAATAAAAGATGGCTTGGGATGTAGCTCTGTGCGAAGACCCCTGAGTTCAGTGTCCATTACTGAAAAGAGAAGTTTTTTTTGTGTGTGATGCCTTACTAGTTCTAAATATTCAGCATTTCGTCTTGATTCATCATTCAATAAATTAACAAGTGAACATTTGTGTTTTACAAATAAATTTGATTCTCTTATTTTGATACTGAATAAGGCAGGCTCTAACAGATCTTTATTTGTATTCCTGCTACCATATGAGCACAGATTGTCATACTCCCATGGCTAGGATACTCAATTTTTTTAACAGATATTATTTCAAGGCTGTCCTCCTCTCCAAAACTGTGAATGTCAGTGTGATGTTTCCTTGCCCAAAAATCTCCAGTATTTTTCTATACGTATGGCCTAGTATCGCAAATGTACAATATAACTTTCAAAGATCTCCTAAAAGTCAAAGCACATTTCAAAAACGGACATCTTCGCATTTCTAAATGAACCAAAACTAGACTTTTCGTATCTTCAGTGATTATATTAGATTAGTTCATGACTAAACTTCTGTTGTTGTCTTTGTTTCTTACCCCAAATTCACTTTCCTTGGAACTTTTGCTTACCTAAATTCTATTTCAAGTTCTGCCTTCTCAAAGAGTTTGTTAGAAATTACTTTGGCCAATATGTACCTCCCCTTTAAGCTAAAAATCTTGTATTATGTATTCATACTCTACTGTCCCATTTATTTTAGCACTTAGTTATTGACTTTGATTTGTGGTTTTCACTTGCTGATTTCCCACCAAGTAACAGATTGTGAACTCTTAAAGAGCAGGCACTATTCTTATATTGTTTGTAAGAAGCCTGTGTAAGTGCCGAGCAGTTCTTGGCACATGGGTGCTCAGTAAAATACTTATTGAATGAATGAAATAACTACAAGATGCTGTTGCCCACAATACAACTCAGAAAGTCATTGTTACATGTCTTTGTCTCCAGCCTTTGCTTGTGACCTTAGGTTGTTATCATTTTAGTTTCTGCCTCCTCACTCTCTTTTTCATTTAATAAAAATGGAACATAAGAATAAGTAAGTACTTTTATTTGGTAAATAACTGAAATATTTAAGTGACAGGCAAAACTATTTCTGTTCTATCATTGATAATCATCAAGTTTTACTGCAGAGTTTTATTTTACTCTGGAGTTTTCCATAAAGTAGAGAAAGATAATTTGGAATGTAAGACTTCGAGAATCTTATTTTGTGCAGGTAACAGAATCTGTGCCTTTCAAGTAGACATTAGCCAGTGACAAAAAGAAACTTTTTGTTCTGTTTCTTGAGACAGGGTAGTTCAGGCTGGCCTTGAACTTACGCTATAGCCTAGGGTGGCCTTGATCTTGTGATTATCT